CTACGCTTTCTGCCGGCACAAAAACAATAAAAACGTTAATAAATATTGATTGCAATCTGTTGAAAAATGGTATTTTCCTTCTTTTAGTCTGGGATAGGGTGTACAATTTTTAGTTTTAGTCTGGGGTAGGATATGTAAAATCAAATTTTTAGGTCTGGGATAGGGTCAGGGTTTTGAGGTCTTGGCGGCACACCCCTACCCAAGTTGGGGTGGTAGTACCCCCCCCGGGATAAAGGCTCCCACATTTTAAAGACAGCATGCTAGTCTCAAGAAAGGATTGCTAGTCAATTAGATTTCCTAGGTCGTCAGTGATCGTAGGTGAGGCAGACCTTGATGAGGCTCTAAGTCTTCATCTAAATTTGGATATACCTTTATCTCTGACAAAGTCGTCCTTATTAGTATTCCTTATATAAAGAATACTAGTGTAGAGTTTTTTATCGGATATAAAAGTCCATGCACGTGAAGTGTATGGTGGCTCCAATTGGACCAAAGGCTTATGAATTATTCATGAGTTTTTGAAGTATAAATAAAGAAACAGGGAGGGAGGAATGAGGTAGAAAGTCAAGTGCTAACGTATCAGTGGCGGATCCAGGATTTTTCAAAGGGGGGTTCCGTTTCTTAAACTGTGTATAATTCTCTTTTGTTTAGTCGATGTTTGACAAAAAAATTGGCTCTAATCACCTAATTTACTATCTAGTAATGGAACTTAAAGGTAAATTAAACATCATAACAGCAAATATCTATCATCTTGTTTTTCAACATTATCTTTGTGGATACTTTTAAGCAAAATTTATATAAGACATATTTCTATTACCTAAAAGATCAAACCTTCAAGGGGGGTTCCGTGGAACCCTTCGAACCCCCCCTGGATCCGCCACTGCGTATAAACCAACACGGGCTAGTACATTAGGTATATGTAAACAAACTCCATAATAAATATAATTTAAAGACTGAAAAATGAAAAAAACTAAGCTTAAACATTTTTAAAAGTTAAGCCAAGAAACATTAAAATTTATCTAAATAATAACACGAATTGCCACTCAATAACTTATAAAAAATAATTGATTAAATATAAAACTAGTCAAATACTCTATTGGTTTAGCATAAATTATCAAGTACCTTCGTATTTGAATAGTTTTTCTAACAGAAAAGCAAGCCAAATTTACCCTGAATTTTTTTTCCATCGTTCTTGTTCTCACCCGTATTCTCTTCGTTTTCTCGACTGTAAAGGCTTTAAAATGCGACCTTTTGCTGTCGTATAGTCCATACGTGTGTGAGGAATGCATTTCTGGCCTAAATATGATGATTATTGAGGTTTTAAAGTGCTTTTTTGGTCTCCGTTTGTGAAGGAGTAAAATTTGCCCGCCATTTTGCAAACTTAAAAGAAAAGTTGGTGTGGGTTTTGATTGGTTGAGATCTTGTTATGGAACGAGAGTTTTTATTGGTTTATCTGAGTTTTTATTTTTCCTTTGTCTTAATTGGTCAGTTTGTACTTTGCCTGTC